CGGAGCTTCCGGCGCATGCGGGGCCACGCGCCAACACCCGGCTCCCCCATTGCGCATGCGTGTAGCGAGACGGGCCAGCCCACGCCCGGGCAGGCCGCTCCCCTTTCTAGTAACTTCCCTGATGTGAGGCGTCATAAGTGCGCGCCGCGCCCGGGCCGGTAGTTTCCGCCCGCCACTGCGGGAGCGGGTGTTGCAGACGCTGTACGGTGCCGAGGGCCTGCCTGCAGCTGTTGGGAGCTGTGCGTCCGCTGCCGACCAGGTCTTTCATACGGGGAGAGGCATGTCGGAGAGCGCGGAGGGTCCCGCGGGGGGTCGCAGCCCCCCAGACTCCCCCACCCGGGGCTCCGCCGCCGAGCCGCGGATCATCAAAGTCACTGTGAAGACTCCCAAAGAGAAAGAGGAGTTTGCCGTGTCTGAAACAAGCAGCATCCGGCAGGTGAGATGCAGTGGGGTTGGCTGAGGGGGGCTGGCGGGCCGGTGGACGAGGAGATGAGCAGCGGGGGCTGCGGGGCCCTGGCGGGAGTAGCCAAGCCGAGGTTAGAGCCTGGGACCAGGTAGAGCGCGGCTCGGGAGAAGAGCCCACGGTTGCGATTCCCGCCCCTAGCATTGCAGAGCGAGGGCCCTTCCCGGTGACAAAGCAGCTCCTGCCCGCCCCGACTGCTCTAGGCACTGCTGGGCGAGTACCAGGGCCGATCCCGGCCCAGGAGAGGGCTGCTGCCCTCTGAGGCTAGTGGGGGTAGTGAAGAAACCTCCCGCTTCATCTCCTCCTCCCCACTTTATCTCCTCCCTGTTGTAATGCTGAGAGCCGGCCCGGGAGGTCTGTGTAGCTCCTTTTCTAACTGCGAGTTGTTCCGTCGAGCTGACTCAGTCTGCGAGTAGGAGTCTGCCTGGCTACTTAGCATGATTATAGAAAACGTCTGTAGACACCTTCGTCGCAGTGCTGTGTTGTCAGTGGTTATTTTGATCTAAAAGTGTCTTTAAAAAGAGCGAGTAAGTTATGCAAAGATGTCTTAGTTTTAGGGAAGTGTTGTCTTCAGACTACATCTGTAGAGTTTGCAATAAAAATAAAACATTTATTCTTCTGTACCTAAATGTTCTAATTATTGATATGATACTTAGTATGGCGGTGCTGTCAGATAACTCTGAATTATTAGTGTCTTTTTTATGTTTTGTGGGAGTCCGTGCCCCATGGTGCCTTTGGCTCAACAGAAGCAGTGATACCTACTGAATCATTGACACTACTTTCTGTAACTCTTCTGTTTTTCTTGGAGGTTTTTCCATGCATTGATCAGAACTTCATTTATTTAGATTAGAAAACTTCAAATCATAGAAGAGGTGTAATCAAAGTGTAACGTAGAGGCTCTGTAAAGCCTGAGTCTTCTAGTTCTGAAGAATGTAGATGTTGCTCTGTTAAAATACTCCAGAAAATGAAGTTCCTGAAGGAGATGCAGACTTTACTTTATTTTCTATAGAATTTATTGGAAATTCTCACTAAAATCTCACTGAATGAAGTGACTTGGTCAACTTTGCTTTTTTTTGGTATGGCTGATAAACTCAGACCTCACTAAAAAAAGGTTACATGTGTGAGAGTGCCACTGGTGTCTAGATACAGAGATTGAAATCATTCTTTATGGATAAGCTGAAAGACACTGTGTGATTATCAGAGGAGGATAGAAAATATGAATTAAAGGCTCCCGGGTGTAAAATATAATGCCAGCAGTTTAGCTAGAATATCAGACTCTTGCTCCATCTAGTTGCTGTGAAGAGACAAAATGCTGATATTTCTTTGAAGTTTCTACCCATAAGTCTGTTTTAGATTGAGAGTTTTTTATTTCAGCATTTGGCTTATAAATATCCCAGACATAAGTTTCACTGAGGTCTTCTCTCTAGCTGCCAGAAGGGTGAGACTACTCTTGTCTTCATTGGTCTTTTTGGAGCTGCAGTATCGTATGCTATCAGCTACTCTCTCTGCAGGCTTAATCTAGACATTTCTCTCAAAAATAAAATGACTGTGTTTGCTTTTTAATGTTGTCCACTGCTTTCCCAGCAATCTCAGTCTGAAAGGGGTGCTTTTCACTTCTCTGTTCTCCATAGATTTGTGAGCAGTGTCAATGCAGTTTTTGTAAAAATCTTTGCAGATTTGTTTTTTTTTGTTTTGTTTTTAAAAAGAGGTTCATATACTGGATCTAACCTGAGGATCACATTTGTCCTGAAAAGCAGTGTGCTGTTAGTGTGAGTCCTTCAGGAATTATAAACAGATTTACTTAAAATGTTAATTTTATAATATATTTGACTAACAAGATTGTTTGAAATGTGAATGCCAGTGGGGCTGCCAGGTTTTCCAATAAGCAATTGTCTTAAACCAGAATAGTTATACAACCTAGCAAGAACATGGATTTTAACTAAAGGCAGCCTTGCAAGTTTAGATAATTCACAGAACACACTGCCTAAAATGTCTTTGTTATCCACAGATATCTTAAACTCTGAATGTTGTCTCTCTTGGAGCTGCTGTTAAAATGTTAGATCTCCAGTTATAGCTTGGTTTCTGTGAAGCAAGATTGCCTCTGTGGGTCAGCCTGGAGTCACAGTCACAGCTAGCACTAAAAAATACACTGTCCCTGTAGTGCGAACAGCATTGGCTATCTCTCTTAAACTGTAAACACAAGCTGTTGTTTATAATAACCCTGAACAGTAGATGCGATGTTTCCAGATCCAGCCTTGAAAATAATCTCAAATACAAACCAACATGAACATCTGTTTACATCTGGCATCAGCAGGTGGTTTGTTCTGTTGGCATAGATGGGCCAGCAAAACCTGCCATATTTGCAAGTTGGAAAAAAACCCAAACAACCCTAAACTCATACAGGAAAATAAAACCCATTCAGTTGTATACTTCTGTAGTTAATATTATGACTTAGTGGTTTCACTTGTTTATTTGTTTGCAGTCATGTTGGAATGCTCTTTAGGTAAATATTTTGGATCATCAGAACCAAATTTAGGACTACACAAATAACGTTTTATATTGCTCTGTAAATGTAAATCTGGTTTGCAACCATCCTAAGTCAAGAAGACTTTTCCCTGTGTTGGAAGACACCAACAACATAGGATTTGCTCTTGGTGATCCTGTGTTGTGCAGCTAGAAGGAATATGCAGGTTGGAATGGAAAATAACCTTCAAGTATAAACCCCCTCTGTAAGGTCAGTTGTTTGCAAGTACCACTGTCTTTTTTTTTTTTGGTGGAACCTATTTGATTGTGTTGAGCACAGTTTGGCTCAGTATTAGTACAAGGAACAAATATTTGCTTTCTTGACTGGGTATCATACTGATCTTGCTCTGTGCAAAGACTTGATGAAGACATGGTGGGTAAAGGTGAATACCTATAAGCCTGCTGACTAGCTGACCCTGACAGTGCTGGCACTTTAGCTCAGTAGAACTATTTGTCTTCTGTCTTCCCCCCTCTTTGATGTATTTTCTGTCTTCATGGCAATATAATCTTTGCAATTCCTTGCTTAGAAGAGTTAACTTTAATAATGTGTTTTAATAAAGCCTGTATACAAAGTGCACTCATGTTATGGACAGCTCATGTCTTAATGTCTTGGTGAATGATTTGAATTGTTTGAGTGATGAGGTGTTGAAACCAGTTGCATGGAAAAACAGCTTTACTTTCATCATTTAGACTGTTTACACCATAAAGGAATTTTTTAGAAGAGTTAAAACTTGCTGAGATTTGATGGTGTGCTTCTTGTAATGCCCAGTTCTGACATTTGCAGTGTTCAAGAGTTTATTGTAACTGAAGAGTTACTGTCCACCAATGTTTGTGCAGACTGTAAGATACCAAGTTGTGTGTTGTGTGAAAATGACAATTCTGAAACCAAATAACATGCTTTTCTGTGTATTTTTAACTGATAGGTCAACAAATAGTGGATATAGCAAATCTGCACTAATAATTTCAGAAGCTTGTTCTTGCAGACAATTATTGTCAATTCTGTGATTATCTGAAAATTTCAGAGTAATGCCCATCTTAAAAGTTAGTGAAATTCAGTTTAGCTGCACAGAAAATAGATTTGATTCTCTTGCATTTTTATTTTTTCCATTTTTGTTTAACTTCAGCCTTTTTATGGAATTTCTCTTCAGTGTGGAATACTGTTTTCAGTAATAGCATACTTAACAGCATGTAATATATTTTTTTAAACCAAGTGTATGCATAAATATTGTGCTTTCTATACTACAGTAAATTATAGATAAAAAATCTGGCCTACTGAATTGTATGTGTGAATGTATACATTGTGTTGAGACTCTGCTTCTTGTCAAGTGGAGATCTTGTAAAGTTGTGTTCTCTGATGTACAGTTTATGCCTGAAACTTGAAATCCATAAGTGAAGGGTTTCAGATTTGTGTCTGGTTCTCACAATCTCAAATTGGTAGTATTCTGCTTACAAAGATCACATGGGTGTAAATGTTAAGGGGAATATTGGGTGATGTGGTCATGGAGCATCTTTCCTGACTTGCATATGCTTTTAATATTTTATGTAAAGTTTTGCTTCTGAAGAACAGTTTAATTTAAATTCTTTTAACTTAATTCAACTCTGTCTGTAGTCCAGGGATTATTCAATGGTACAACAAAAGAGGTGGAAACCATATAATGGAGTCAAGTTTGTTCCTCTCTTTCCAGGATTATGATTTAGTTTTCTGTTGGCACTGAAGGCAGTTGAGTACATGAATTGTTTAGCATTAGGTTTTCCATTTTCTGGTGTCTCAGTGCATTGAGACACATCTTTGTGACTCTTCACGGAGTTGACCTTGCAGTGTATTCTGATTATTTGTGTTTAAGATTTTTTTTTTCTCATTTTGGAAACTTTACTGAAATTATTTTAGAGTAATGGTAGATGGCTTTTTGGTAAAATAAAAACTTTTAGAAGAAGTTATATTGTCAAGAAAGTCAATTGGCTTAGTCCAAAAGTATCACCTGTCCAACCATGGTACTTAGCAAGTGTTTTCTGATAAATGACAGATAGGTATAGTAAAATAAAAATCCCTGTTTAAGTAATTCTGTGAAGTGACTTGTGTGCAGGTGCTTTTTTGCAGAGTTACAGTTTAATTTTGATATTTCAATTATTTTATCCTTTTTTAAACTTTTATCCATGTCAAATAGGACCTGCCTTCCTCCCGTGATTTCTTGTGGGTTTGTTTTGCTAGTATCTTTCACCTTCAGTCACTAGTGTCACAGAATTTTTAAAAGATTTTCCTATATACTGTTCGGAATTTCCAACAGTAGAGAAAACCCTAATGAACGAATAGCTCTGGTAGAGGTGTCATGGTAAGATATTCTATATATTTATTTTAGACCCCAGTCAGCATCTCAATCTAGTGTCTATGAACCTTGGCTGTGTAAGGAGGATCACTGTCTAGGACTAAGGTTAGGCCAAAATCTTAAGAA